GTACATAAGATTTGGATGGATAAATATGAAAAAAGAAAGAAGAAAAGAAAGACTATTTTTATATTTTCAATCTTGACAAGTTTAGATATGTAATATTATCCAAGAATAGGCTTTGCATTCAAATTTCCCACCAGACCAACGAAACCAGCATTAACCTGAGATGACCTCAGTCAGCAATAGACTTCTACGGTTCACCCCTTGTCAGCGGTGATCCCAAATGAGGAAAACCTGGAGACCGGGCTGCTCCGAATTTGTACGAACGTGTGCAATATTGTTGGAGACATGGCTATATAAACAAGCGCTCCATAGAGTATTTGGGCAGCAACATTTTTATACTACAGTTCTCAAAATGCAAGGTACAAGAGCCATTATTGAATGAGGTTGGTGTAATTACGTAAATAATAGGGATAAAGAAGTGCAAATTATGGGGATACGTAAGATGGGTTAAAATAATTGTGACCGGTGAAGAATCTTCTCGGGCGTTCGGGTCAGTGAGCTGTATGAGCAGAAAATTCCTCCTTACCAATGGAAGACAAATGGAATTAAGGTGTGTCGATCGTGTGTACATGGCATGGTGTGTACTAGCTGTGAATGTATGAACTGGTGGAACTAAATAATGAATCTCGTTTGAACTTATACCAGGGAAATAGTGGGGAGTGCGAGTGGGGAGTAACACTTTGTCTGTGAGAAAGGATGCATAAGATGCAATACATTTCACCACCCAAAAGGTAGCTTAATCGTTTATTAAATTCTATCAGGCTGACTAAGTATAGTAGTGAAAGAGAATGTAATTTTAAACATGAAAGATCAACTCTTCGTCTTTGCATTAATCAGCACGTCTTTTTAATTACAAGCACCATTTAGTTTAACGGAGTGTTATATATTCTGAGAAGGATCTCCGGTCACCAGAATGAATGGATTCTTAAATGTTCAATGTGCACCTGGAAATGGCACGACTTCTGAAAACATTGAAGAATTTCTTCGTAGAATACACAACACGTAACCCAGTTAGGTACTAATGCGCAAATGCGGTATCTTTTAGACGTCAAGGGATTTTAGCAAGATTGCGCCATGAGCAAAAACAAAGAAAGAGAAAACACGAAAACGGAAAAAAAAACGAAGGAGAAAACGGAAAAAAAGGAGAAAAGACGAGAAAAAAAAATCATGTTGACGGATAGAAAGAAAAAGACAACACGAGAAGAAAGAAAGAGAAAACAAGAAAAAAGAAAGAAAGAAAGAAAGAAAGAAAGAAAGAAAGAAAGAAAGAATGTGAGAAGTAAGAAAAAACATGAAAAATGAAATAAATAAATAAAAAAAATAAAGAAAGAAAGAAAAAAAAAGAAACAAAGGAAGGGAAAACATGAAAAAAGGATAGAAAGGAAGAGAAAACACAAAAGAAAACGTAAGCGTAAACATGGAAAATAATAGTAAAAAAAAAATGAAAAGAAAAAAGAAAGCAAAGTCACGGAAGGAAATAATGAAAGGAAAAATAAAGAAAAGCGAAAACATGAAAAACCAAAAATAGTAAAAAACATAAATGGAAACGAAAAGAAAGAGAGAAAGAGAAATCATGGGAAAAAAAGAAAGAGAAAACGAAAAACAAAAAAAAACGAAAAAAACAAAAATGTAAAAAATAAAGGTAAAAATAAAGAGGAATAATAAAAAGCAGAAAAACATGATACTCCCACGTAAACCAACACATTCACTCCTTATTCCATTTGAAAGGAGGAAGAAAACTGTTATTTTCTGAAAAAAAAATATCCTGCGAGGACGCTTCATTATAAGTCGTAAACTTAACCTCTAACACTCAAGCGTCTATCGCGATCTATCCCACTTATCCTCGTAAACTTCACTCCCTTTTACCTTCGGTTATGTCTGTATCACACACCTCATTCAGTGACCGTCTACTGCGAGTGGCACGTCATCCTTTTTTTGGGTGAACTTTAATCTAAAAAATGTCATAAAAAAAGACAATGCCAATATGGTAGAAACAATAATAAAACTTAAATAAATAAGGAAAGAGAATACTTGAAAAGAAAAAGAAAGAATGTCAACAATCCCCTCCCCACAAACGTAGAAAAGAAAGAAAATAATAAAGAAAGACAAAACAGAAAAAAAATGAGATGAGAAAAGAAGAAAAAAGAAAGAAATAAAAAAGAAAGACAGATTAGAAAAAATTAAAAAAGTGTGAAAGAAAGAAATCAAATAAAGAAAAGAAAGAAAGAAAAGAAAGAAATAAAATAAAGAAAAAAAAGAAAGAAAGAAAAAAAGAAAGAAAAACGGAGAAAATAAGAAAAAATAAAAAGCCATAAAAGAGCAACAAATAAAAAAAATCATAAAAAATAATGAAATAATGTCGATAACATGAACGAAGTAAGAAGAAATAAACATAAAAATGAAAATAAATATAGAAATGAAGAATATTCGGAAGGAGGATATGAAGAATAAGAAAGTACTGAAAAAAGGCAAACATAGATCTTTGTAACCGTAAAAAGCTGTGTCAAATGAACGGTTTTCCCATGATTCCACTCATCTTTTAAATACCGTTACTCTTCGTTGATGATAAGAATGATAATAAAACGTAAATATACAAAGAAAGTGAATATATACATTTCTTTTTTGTTCTTGAGAATTTACAACAAATATATTAAACACTATTTGATTATGAGGTTTTAACTATAAGAATAAATTTATATTTACAACTAATAAAATGAAAACTTATGCAACGCAAAGTTTATAATTTACCAATTAATGTGTGAAATAAAAATAAAAACTATTTTTACTCATAAATTTATAACACTTACTGAATTATCAAAATATGTGAAACAACCTTAACGAAATCTTTATTTACCATTTTTTGAAGTTCGAATCACATGACAATTAGCCAATGTTTTTCCAACCATTCCAATAAAAATATAATGAACAAACATTGTAAATGAACAATCGAATAAATAAATCTCTATCTGTAAAAGGCAGGGTGTGTGTGTGTGTGTGTGTGTGTGTGTGTGTGTGTGTGTGTGTGTGTGTGTGTGTGTGTGTGTGTGTGTGTGTGTGTAACGAATGCACGGCCGCAATTTTCGACGGATTTGCACCAAAATTTACATGCACATGCTCCAAGTTAGCGGGAAGGCCAAGACCGCCTTTGCATTTTCCAACTCCCATCGATAGTGGAAATAATCGATTTTTTCTTGCTTCTACGGCAATTTTTTTATTTAGTTTACGGCCATTTTGTACTGGCCAGAATGAGAGCCTATAGCTGGCTGCCACGAATAGGCAGGAAGATTCTATTGGCCAGCGAGATAGCCAACAGCTGACTGACACGAATGTTAACTAGCATGCTAGCATGCAAAAAAAAAAAATAAAAAAAATAGATGCATTCGACACAAGTGTGAAAAATTTAAATCTAGATGGCACTTTACTCCATTCGCTTGCTTAAACTCAACGTTGATTCTGATTCCGCAGAACTGGGTTGTGCGTGAAAAGTATTTGTTGTTAACATTCTTTTTTCATTCGGTTTTTTCCAGTTACGAGTCCTTTTTTAAAGCTGATCGTTTTGTGTTCATTTTGTTTACTTCTTTTTTCGTAACAGATTTAATGTTTAGTATAGAGCTTAGAAAAAAATCGTGAGATAGGCAAGAAGTAAGATGTGTAGTAACATCAGCACTGCAAAGGGCACTCGTTTAAAGGCAAAGAAGGGCAAAAATATTTTAAGTCAAGTGATAGCGATTGCTGTATGAGTCGTACGATTTTTGAATCAAGCACGGGCAACACGGGGTCATGCTGCTAGTGTTTAAATAAATGTACAAATTCATATTCATATGTTTAGGTTTTATTACTATTCTAATCATCGTTTCTCTTTCTTTCTTTTTTTCAAATAATTGCCGAAGCGTGAAGGGATTTAAAATGATAACGGTGCCATAGAAAAAAACATCCTTTTGATACTTTTTTTGCAGGCTCGATGGTCCATGTTTACCAAAAGAGAACAGAAATACTAAACGTGGAGTAAGGAAGAATGTGAGGTAAAAATAAAGGAAACATGGAAGAAAATGAAAAGAATTGAGGAAAGGTAAGAAAAGATTAAATAAACGTAAAGAAGAAAAGCTAAGATTTTTTTTTTTTTTTTGCACTAAGGAATATGGTGTTTTCTCCCCGATTGTACATTCTCTTCTCCTCCGACTTTAGGTTAAATAGTACGATTTGTATCTGAAAATCATTATCTCTCCAAAAATTGTTAATACAATATTCACTCGCAAAAAAAAAAAATGAATTGCTCGTACAATACAAGAATAAGTTTTGGCTTTCAATAACTTAAAACAGATTGAAAGAAAAAATCAATAGCAAATAAAGACAAATCTTTTTCTTCTTCCTTTACATTTCTTCGATTCCGGCTCTTTTCAGTTCTCCGTATATGCTCTTATATTTTTGGAGACGACCTCTTAATTTCTATTATGATTGTCAAAATATTCCATTCTTTCTTTTTTTTTTTTTTTGGTAGGGTTGCTGGCATTAAGAATCAATATAGAAATTATAATAGCTACGGTAACAATAATAATTATAATTAGTCTCTGTAGCAGGAATTCTTTTGTTATACAATATTTACTATGGTGCTTGTTAGAAATACGTTTACAGCAAGATTCAAGCTCGTCTTAATTATTCTGTAAAACCGTTATTTGGAATAATGTTATTTGCTCGTCATTCCGTTTTGTTTTTTGTTTTTGTTTTTTTCAAATTTGAAAAATTCATTTTTTTTTGTGTTTCTCTTTCATTAGTATTCGAATCTATTTTTTTCATTTCGCGTTTATTTATTTATTTTTTTCCTAGACTGACCTACATTGCAGAATTTGAGATCATTAAAATATTCAGGAGACAGCCACTCGTTAGCAAGAATTTCTGTAAATGAAGCGATTAAAACTGTGTAGATGGTGTTGGCTACAATCTGGGAGATGTCTATGTATTTTCGACTGAGCCTATTTATTCTTGTATATATGTGTGAAGCACTTATGTTCATCTCTGGAGGCACCACAGTTTCTCTTCTTCCCTTCACATCATCACTATCGATTCTTTCTTTATTTTTCTACTCATCAACTTTCTTTCGTTCGTTAACTTTTCTTTCTTTTTTTCTTCCTTTCTTTCTTCCTTTCATTCTTCCTTTCTTTCGTCACTTTTTTTTCTTTTTACAACCTGCTTTTCCATCTATAGACATCTGCCTTTCATTTTATTTCTTTCTTTCTGATTTTCCTTCTTTCTTTTGATGCTTCTTTCTTTTGTTACTTTATCTTATTTCTTACTTTCTATCTTTTTAAAACCCTCTCTGTTCTACATACACCCGTGTTAAATTTCTCTATAATTTCCTTTAACCATCTATAGACATCTGCCTTTTATTTTCTTTCATTCTTTTCTTATTTTTCTACACATCAAATTTCATTCGTTCCTTCGTTAACTTTTTTTTCTTTATTTATTTGTTTTTTTTTTCTTTTGTTACTTTTTTCTTACTTTCTTTCTTTTTACAACCGTCTTTGTTCTATATACACCTGTGCTACGGAGTCATTCTCTGTAAATTCCCTTTCTTATCTACAAACATCTACCTTTACTTCTTTTTTCTCTTTTTCTTTCTTTCTTTTCTTTTCTTTTCTTTCTTTTTTTTTTTTTTTTTTTTTTCTTTCTTTCTTTTTTCTTTCTTTCTTTCTTTCTTTACTTTTCCTTTCTTTCTTTCTTTTCCTTTTCTTTCTTTTTCTTTTCTTTCCTTTTCTTTTCTTTCTTTTTCTTTTCTTTCTTTTTCTTTCTTTCTTTCTTTCTTTCTTTCCTTTTCTTTTCTTTTCTTTCTTTTCTTTCTTTTCTTTTCTTTCTTTTCTTTCTTTCTTTTCTTTCTTTCTTTCTTTCTTTCTTTTCTTTTATTTCTTTCTTTGTAGAACCATCATTTTCTCTACATGTGCCCTTGTTTCATTTTCTGTACACAATGAATGTGGGACAATCTCCTCAATGATGAAGAAGAGACGTGAATTAACCAAAATGCTGCTTTCACTACCATATAGGAGGAATGACATTACGTAACAGTTCAATATTCTTTTATTTTTTCTAATGAGATTTTCTTTCTCTCGATACCTCAATGCTCTTTCGAATTCTCAGTCTCGCACTTTCCATCCTCCGTTAAAACACTTTACTAAATTCACAAAACAACACTTTAGTCTAAATTTTTATTATCACATAATACTTCAACTAGTAAGCGATCAGTATTCTGAACAGATTCGTTGATTTTATTACCCGTAAATTGACACAGTTTCTTAGATCGAGAAGTAGAATGAATTTCTGTTGGACCCACATTTTTTAATTTCATTACTTCTTCTAGACTGGCCGATATCCAAGATTAGAGAACTTTGTCTACACGTATAGATTACCCTTTTTTTTTCTTTTTTTTGTGGTTGTGGTTTGGAGGAGGTGGATTCGTGCTTTTCATAAGTACGAAGTCAACGCACCAGATCATTCCTTGAGATTGAACATGGATCACCGATTTTACTTTCGTTACGTCAGCATTACATATTTGATTTAAACTTACTCATCAATAAAACTATGATTAGGATACTAGTTCAAAACATTCGCCAATTTTCTTTTATGGATATTTGTTTCTTTATTATCCCCCAATAGCTCACCTAAATTCACCCACATATATTACCTAAATTCTATAAAGCCTGTAGATCTTTGCGAGGACTAGCCTTCTTCGAAATGGCGCTAAAGAATCACAAAGAACCGTGACAAATGACTGAAACGGCATTACTCGCGGACATTCACCAACAGGAACAACTAAAACTGCACGAAAAGAAAATGATAGCATAATGAAGATTTCATGCTGATTGGAACAAAAGGTTTCGAAGGAAACTACAGTCACTACTGGAATTAGAGATAAGAATTAGTAGAGTTTAGAAAAGTTTATTTAATGAAAATTTCTTTTAAGCGAAGATTTTTACAATTTCAACTGAAAATAGCACAAATTGTTCGGTCATTGAAATACGAATCTTTCCTTATAAGGAAACAGTTTATAATAGCTTTCTCCTTACTGAGCTTGATAGGAGCAAAAATATCCGCATATCGGGAAGTACATTGTCTGAAATTTATTCTCGGAGACACGGCATGATAGTTTAATTCGAAGTGTGTGGTCAACCGCGAAGAGTGTGGTCAACCGCGCAGACACTAGTAACAGTGAAATGATCTTACACCCATTGTTAACCTTGACAGAGACCAGTCACATTTCGATGGCTATCCAAAAATTGTTTAGTGTTCTTTCTCATTTTATTTTAGGTGTGTCTACTGGGGTATGTATGAGGTGTCTGAGGCGACTCCCTTTCCAAAATTAGTATTCTTTTGCTTGGTCATTGAAATACCGATTTAGGGTAGTGTGTCGGGCGGAGAAAAAATTCAGCACTCTCTCGGATGTATATGTCAGTGTCTGTCCCTACGCTCGTACGGTATTTAGCGGATAGTGGTACTTAAGACGGTTTCGTATTTTTTTTTATTATTATGTCTGTTGTCTTTTATTTTCTTATAATAGCAAATAAATCAATTGAATCAAAAATCAAGCGATTATCTCCGCAAATTCTTCCATCAAAACAAACTCTCGTAAATAAATTAAAAAAATAAATTATACGGCAGGAGGTTAAAAGGGTGGAGACAATTAAAAAATATAAAATAAAAAAAGAAAGAACTTTAGATAAAAATACAGGATACACTGATAACGGCATTTCGTTAAGTTACTTAATGATTTTTTTTAAGCATTACGCCCCGAGCAAGGCGTGAAGCCACTACGATTCAGGGGGTTGCAGAAGATTTGGAGCGAGAGCAGATAGGAGTGATAGAAGAAAGGATGAGGAGAAGGATAGTGGGTAGATCAAAGTAACTGGAGATGCCAGTTGACATTACATTTGAATAGTTGGAGATTATAGCTCTCAGGGAAACAGTGATTGAGAAGGGTGTTCCACAGGCGAGAGGTGCGAGGTATGAAGATTTTGGAGTAGTAGAGACGGCTAAATTTAAAAGTTTCTACGGTGTAAGGGTGGGAGCGGGATGCCAGCCTCGTAGGGCGCTTGAATTCATGGAGTCTGGGAACCAGTGAAAGCAGCTCATCGGAGCAATTACCACGAAAGTATTTATAGAAAAGACAGAGAGAGGCGACGGCGCGTCTGTGAGAGAGTGACTGTAGACGAGACGCCAGATCAGGGCCAGTTATGTTACATATCCGTCTCTGGATCTTGTCAAGAACTCCGAGGTAAACAGAAGGTGCACCAGACCATATATGGCAGCAATACTCCATGCAGGGCGAATGGTTGATTTATATATTTGAAGTATCGATTCCGGGGAGAAAAATTTAAAATACTTTATTTCACACATACCACATCGCTATTGGTTACTAAGTACACTGTAATAGCTATGGTATTATGATACGATTCGTTTTAGGGTTACAGGAGACTTTATTGTTCAAAATCGCTTAACTATTGAAAAAACGGAAGTAGAAAAATTTCAAGTATTCAAGTAATATCTTAACGAGTACAATTTCAATGTTGGTTAGAATAATACAGCCCTGTTACTATAGCGTATGCTTTTCGGAATGAGGTCAAAGGCCGAATTGGACTATTATACAAGGTGTCCATAGAGTTCATGTGCACTTAAAAAAATATAACTTTATTGGAATTTTCGATAGAAATAATCTGTAAAAAATGTTATAAAGTTTAATATACCTAGTTTTAAGTATAGCTAAAATAACAAACGTGATTTCATGCATTACTGTAATTCAGTTGGCAAATGTTTTCCGTGAACTGCAAAATCGTATTACCCTTTGTACTGCTAATGATGGAGGACATGTGGAAAGTTAAATAAAATTTCAATAAAACCTTAAAAAAATATAGATTGACTTCTTTCTAATCCTTTTTACAAATTATTTCTATCGCAAATACAAATACAGTTATACATTTTTAAAGTGCACACGAATTTTGTGGACACCATGTATATCAGAACACACACATACAAAAACATTGAATTACTATTCAAAGTTTTATCGCAGATAAAATCATGGATTCTCTGTATAAACTCTACCTTGCGACTGTGTCGTCTCCATAAAGAAAAGTGCCGAAAAGTGTTGAGTAATTTTAGCCACTAGTTCATGTACGCGTGGGTATCCAGTTTAAATTCAACATTATGTTATCTGCATTCGTGTAGGTGTAAGCATAAGTGCCTACTTAAATGGACAATATAATCCTTGAAAATCGTCACGAATCACAAGGTCAGGAAATTTAGGTGTTATTTCCCTATCTTTATTCTATTTTTATTAGTGTGATGTCAGAGCAAACCAACCCAAATGAGATGGTTTGTGCGGGAAATACATCCTTACTTTGCCTCCCACAACCATTTCATAGGTAGTAGTAGTAGTAGTAGTAGTTCTTCTTGTGCATGTTGTTGTTGTTGTTTTTGTTGTTGTTTCTTTCCCATTTTCCCGTTTAGTCGTCCTTTTACACAAGGTTCGTTACGTCTTTCTCTTTGCCCGTCTTGCCTTCAGGTTGCCCTGTTAATGTTCAATTGCCCAATTCCCTTCCCCATTATTACAATTGCAATAAATTCATCGAGCCTGCATAAACATCTGCATAATACAATTGCTCCAAATACTACATTGAACGTAAATCTACTAATACTCGTAAAAAAAAAAGCCTATTTGTAGAATGTTCAAAATTAGCAAACCCCACAGAATTTTGGATTTTATTTGACAGTAAACAAAATAATAGTGATATGACGCAAAAGAGGTTTTCATTAAATAGTTGAAAAGTCTGGTTCCATAAAATATACCTAAAACAAACATTATTACATTCTTCGTCTATGTGATGTGTTCCTTAAGGACTTTAGCGATCATTGCTCTCCACAATTTCCTCTCCTTTGTAGTTTTTATTATATTTTGTCTTTTTGTCATATTTCCTTTCTTCCATCCATTTACTCAAGCTCGTTAGGTAGGTTATGTGCTGTTTACCTATGTTCCACGTGATTTCAATCTGTCCTCTGAGTATCAAATTTTCCAAGCCCTTTTTCCTCATTATATACCATATAAATTTCAACTATCTCTTTTTAATTTTAAATATAAATGTTCTTTTTGCTTCGCTTTTCTCTAAATATTCGTCGATTCTCATATGTTCAGTACATGGTATCCTACTATAGAGCCAGAATTCTGTTGCTTCAAGTCTCTTCTTCATCTGTGTCCAGCATCCACTGCCATGTAGAAGGACTGATATTACAAAAATTAATATCTTTTTGCAATGACACCTAAACCTTGTTCCAAGTTACTAAAGCTTTTTAGGTAGGTTATGTTTGGTTTCCTCTGTTTCATTTGCTAGTCCGTCCTGTCGACTGCGGTTATAGAATACGCTGACTGAACCTTTCCACAGATCCTGAGTATGCCGATAAACTACATCCGAAAGCAAGGCACCTGATCGGGAGATTGAACGTTTTGAGGATCGTGGAACGACCTCTTAATTGTTGTCCCTTGGTCTACTATGACTCGGGATGGTAGCATCTGTTAGGCTACCAGCTATGATCATATATTAAACTGCTGAACAAAAATTAAAAAAAGAACTAAGAAAGTATAAAAATGCATTAATAAACTAAAAATACAAGCAATATATTTTTATTATCGGTCATGTTTCTATCAAATTTTCCAAACCTACTTTCTTTTCTCATAATATAAACTGGAAATGTGTCCTTTTGTTTCTATTTTCGCTAAAAATACGTCATTGCTTATATGTACGCTCTATGGTATTCTCAGTATCCTACTGTATAACAAACACATTCTTGTTGCTTCAAATTTCTTGTTCATCTGCGAGAGAGCTAAACATTATATTGATCTTTTTGTATATTTTTTGGCGGATTTAGTGCGATGTTAAGTATAAGTTTCCTTTTTGTTGCCATTGTCTGTAGAACTTCACATCTTCGATCCTTGGTATTCTCAGTATCCTACTGTATAACAAACACATTCTTGTTGCTTCAAATCTCTTGTTCATCTGCGAGAGAGCTAAACATTATATTGATCTTTTTTATATTTTTGGATTTAGTGCGATGTAAAGTATAAGTTTCCTTTTTGTTGCCATTGTCTGTAGAACTTCACGTCTTCGATCCTTGGTATTCTCAGTATCCTACTGTATAACAAACACATTCTTGTTGCTTCAAATCTCTTGTTCATCTGCGAGAGAGCTAAACATTATATTGATCTTTTGTATATTTTTGGAGGATTTAGTGCGATGTTAAGTATAAGTTTCCTTTTGTTGCCATTGTCTGTAGAACTTCACATCTTCGATCCTTGGTATTCTCAGTATCCTACTGTATAACAAACACATTCTTGTTGCTTCAAATCTCTTGTTCATCTGCGAGAGAGCTAAACATTATATTGATCTTTTGTATATTTTTTGGCGGATTTAGTGCGATGTTAAGTATAAGTTTCCTTTTTTTGTTGCCATTGTCTGTAGAACTTCACATCTTTGATCCTTGGTATTCTCAGTATCCTACTGTATAACAAACACATTCTTGTTGCTTCAAATCTCTTGTTCATCTGCGAGAGAGCTAAACATTATATTGATCTTTTTGTATATTTTTTGGCGGATTTAGTGCGATGTTAAGTATAAGTTTCCTTTTTGTTGCCATTGTCTGTAGAACTTCACATCTTCGATCCTTGGTATTCTCAGTATCCTACTGTATAACAAACACATTCTTGTTGCTTCAAATCTCTTGTTCATCTGCGAGAGAGCTAAACATTATATTGATCTTTTTGTATATTTTTTGGCGGATTTAGTGCGATGTTAAGTATAAGTTTCCTTTTTGTTGCCATTGTCTGTAGAACTTCACATCTTCGATCCTTGGTATTCTCAGTATCCTACTGTATAACAAACACATTCTTGTTGCTTCAAATCTCTTGTTCATCTGCGAGAGAGCTAAACATTATATTGATCTTTTTGTATATTTTTTGGCGGATTTAGTGCGATGTTAAGTATAAGTTTCCTTTTTGTTGCCATTGTCTGTAGAACTTCACGTCTTCGATACTTGGTATTCTCAGTATCCTACTGTATAACAAACACATTCTTGTTGCTTCAAATCTCTTGTTCATCTGCGAGAGAGCTAAACATTATATTGATCTTTTTGTATATTTTTTGGAGGATTTAGTGCGATGTTAAGTATAAGTTTCCTTTTGTTGCCATTGTCTGTAGAACTTCACGTCTTCGATCCTTGGTATTCTCAGTATCCTACAGTATAACAAACACATTCTTGTTGCTTCAAATCTCTTGTTCATCTGCGAGAGAGCTAAACATTATATTGATCTTTTTGTATATTTTTTGGAGGATTTAGTGCGATGTAAAGTATAAGTTTCCTTTTTGTTGCCATTGTCTGTAGAACTTCACATCTTCGATCCTTGGTATTCTCAGTACCCTACTGTAAAAACACATTTTTTTTGGCTTCAATCTCTTCTTCATCTGTGAGGAGATAGTCAAGTATACGCTACTATATAAGAGGTATTACATTACGTAACAGTTCTGTCTACTTTTCTTTGTCTCTAACAGATCTTTGTTCTTTCCTATCCATCAGCTTAGTTAATTATGGCATTCTCAGTATCCTACTGTAAAAACACATTTCTGTCGATTCATGTCTCTTCTTCATCTGTGTCCAGCATTCACTGCCATAGAGGAGGACCGATATTACAAACTAGTCAAGCAGAAGTCGATGTCTGTGACAAAACAGTAAGATATTGGCGGGATGATGCGGCATTTACATAGAGAACACTTTTCACTTTTATTTATTTCTCACAAAACTTCCCTATTTATTAATACTTTGTTTTGCTTTTAGAAGGCATTTTCCTTGTACTGTTAAAACACTTCCAACACATTTAAATTGTTGGACATGTTTGATTTTGGGATCTCCACTTGGTAATGTGAATGTTGAGCTTTTCCTTTTGATAACTGCAATGCATTATGTCTTCATGCAATGAACGTTTTATATTTTCGCTTTCCTTCATTATTTGATATAGCAGACCTTGAAGCTTAGTTGCTATAGTCACGCAGGTGAAATATAATTGTAAAATATCCCAACAGTGAGAAAAAAATTGATTACCAGTGAAAGAATTAATACTTCTTTGTGCCCCACCCCCTGAGAGCAGTGATTCCATCAAGCATATATTTCACTAATTTAATTCAATGTTTTTTTTTATAATATAACTTCCAATCCTCCAAATGGTCTTTAATAGATCTACTTTGGTGCATGAAGCTTTCTAGGGAATAATTTCTAGTGTCTGAACTCGTTAATAATCGTTGCATTAAGTTTATACGTCTTTCCCGAAGAAAAGCTTAAATTCACATTGCTCTACCACGTGTAACAGCAAAATTGTCCAAATCGCGTAACAGCATAATTTCCCCATCTTAAAAAATGTTTAATATCTAAACAAAAATCCACTAAACTGAGTTTCTTTTATCCAGGTTTTTAGATAAGACGTTTAGCCATCTTGACAGCATTTGTCTTAAATATCACTGAAAAACCATTAGAGTTATTCAGCTAGAAAGAGAACGAGTTAAAATCTTTTTGTGTCAGCCCCACTCTCTTCCCAAATGAGCAATAATGAGTTGGAAAAAGACATTCTGGCCTTCAGTAATATCAATATTCACATTCTGGCTTCCATCTTCAATGTCCTTTCAAGAGACCATCAAGAGAACGTTGAATTAGTTTTTAAAAAAAGCGCGAACAATAGAGAGGAAATCTGGATCAGGAGGTCACAAAAGGAAAAATCATTTCAACTTAACAGATCAATTAGAAAAGATCCAACTCAATTCACAAGACGTTTGGCACGTGAGGGAGGCGTTTCACTTATGACACTCTAAAGTGCAGTGAAAAAAGATTTGAAAATGAAATCGTACGTGAAATCTGTGAGGCAACTTGTTACTCCGGGACAGAAAGGTAAAAGGCTAGAGAGGGAAAAGATCATCTTGAATAAGTTGGAAAATTTTCCCATAATAATAATAATATATATATATATATATATATATATATATATATATATATATATATATATACTTTATTTCAATCTTTCATGAGCTATGATTAATCAATGATGAACATGTCCTTTTCGTTTATGATCGATTTCATCACGATTCTTCTCTTAAGCTTGGAGAATAATTATACATTCTTATTGCTTAATAGAGTCCATTAATTTTGTAAAAATCTCGGCGAATTCCAGTAAGATATCTTTAATAATTTCTAAGATACAACGGTTCAGAGTGTAATCTAACAAATGCACACGATATTCGGATATAATGGTTCGGAATTTTTTTATCGGAGAGCCGACTTCGAATTCTAGTTGAATTCTTTATATTCACTAATGCGTAAATATTCTTAAGAAAGGCATGAATCCAACAATTATCCCTCCAGCTATGGGTTACTGTATATCACTGGCATTTAATCAGCTACAGGCAATGAATTTCACTTTAGCCCTTTCTAAACTCATTTTATTTTTCTTTGGACAGTATGTAAAAGTTTTCTCTATGTAGATGCCATATCAATCACCCAGTATCCCCTACTCGACTCGTTTGTTTCTTATTGGTTTTGAATTTACATATTCATATTACTTTGAGTTTTCTGTCCTTACGTTTTAATTTCTTACTTGGTCTGCCAATATGATAGCCTTTCTTAACGATTTTATATATGCATCAAGTTTTAGACTGGCAACAATCATTTTCTTTTATCAGATTCCACTGTAGATTGCCTTCTTGAATTATCCTTTACATATTTTCAATTAACAATTCTTTTGGTGGGGGTCATAATTCCTTTCAGGACGTACGGTCATGTCATATTGAAACACCGGTTCCCATACGACCACCTAAGTTAAGCAAGATTGAGCCTGGTCAGTACCTAGATAGGTGACTGATTGGAAATATCAGGTGCTTTAATCTTGGGCTTTATATAGGTGTAATAGCTAATGGTTCGGAATTTTTTTTTATCGGAGAGCCGACTTCGAATTCTAGTTAAATTCTTTATATTCACTTATGCGTAAATATCCTTAAGAAAGGCATGAATCCAACAATTATCCCTCCAGCTATGGGTTAATAATAATACTTGTATCACTAAATCATTATTATTTCCAAAAAGAAATTCTTACCATCTAAAAAATATATATTTTCTGTTTCTAAATAACTTGCAAAGAGTTGATGTGCTGCCGAAAACGCATCAATAAACAAATTTAGCTTTCAATTATGTCGGCCCAACACTTTGATGACGTGTGCCTAATCAGACTTTTAACTGTAAACCGATTTGCATATTTATGCATCTGTTGGTATTTGTTTTAGGATTTTCAAGATCATTCCATAATTTTTTCCTCAACATTGGGATGTTCCATAATATTTTCCCATAAGTGGCGTAGGAAAACGATATATCATTCCTCTAAATAATTGAATATATTTTGTTTAATTTATATTTTATGAATCCGGGACTTTCAGTTGTCAAATCATAAGGTTTCATCAGTTTTTTCACTGTTAAATAAAAACAGACACCGTATATAATCGCGAAACATGCGACTTCTGAAGTCCTAATTAAGGGGGTTACATCATGCCCGTATGTACTACTGGCCCTGTCTACACCGTTGACCAAACTGTATATCCATTTACTGTAACCAAATTAACTTCAAAATTAGATCTGCAAATAATAAGCGATAAGCAGATATAATCTAAGTATGCTAATTACATAATCTTTGCCTGGAGGTGTAGGGATTTTTAATTTTGTACAGAATGATTTTTGTAAAGTAATTAATGCGTAACTTTTTTTATGACGAATATAGTACCACAGGTGATTTTAACGCTCACTTGTTGCTCCATATTTTGGCCTTGTACCAAACTTGATTAAATATTCCCCTCTTCCAATTTATTTTATAATCGCTCATGTTCAATTTTTTCTCATATCTATTCATTACTTCTAAGACTTATCTACTATATTTTTGTAATCACATCTTTTAGTTTTCTTTTGCTGTCGATAAAGGTTATAATAAAATAGTTTTCTGAAATCCTTACTGCATTACCTTCCAGTAATTGCTTAAGTTATACAAGGTAACCAAAAAAGTTCTGTCCGTCTTTAAACGAAAAAAAGAAAATGCTTTACAGTATGTGTAACTTATATTTAGTCTTCGAAGTAATCACCATGGGCATCCAGCACCTTCTGCCAACATGTCTCCAGCTGTTCAATGCCCTTGCGGTAGACCTCGGGGGGTTTTGACGCAAAGAAGTCCGTGAGGGCTTTGCGCAAATCTGCTTCATTGGCGAAGGATTTCCACGAAGATGATTATTCAGGGAGTGGCAGAGGTGGTAATCGGATGGCACAAGGTCAGGTGAATAAGGTGGATGGCACAAAGTCTCCCACCCAAGTTGCTGTATGGTATCCCTGACCACAAGCGCGACATGCGGCCTGGCGTTGTCATGGAGGAAAAGCACACCTTTGCGATTCACCAATGCTGGCTCCTTCTGGCGCAATGCCTGTTGTACACGTTTCAATTGCTGCGAGTATAGGTCTCCAGTGACCGTTTGGTCCGTTGGTAGCAGTTCATAATGAAACACTTGATGGCCTGTCCACCAGACAGAAAGCATAATCTTGCGTGGGTGCATAGGCGGGCTTGCGGTGTGAGGGAGAGCATCCTGAGGAGACAACCAATGTCAGGAACGCTTGGGAGTTTCGTACAGAACCCACTTTTCATTACTGGTAAGCACTCGATTGAATAAGGATGCGGTACGGTGGCGAGAAAGCAGCGAAACGCAGGCTGCCACTTGTTGTCACTTGTGGACCTCCAACAGCGTTTGCGGAACCCACTTGCTCAGTTTGTACATCTTACCTAGGCGGTGCAGGTGAAATCTAACTGTTTCATCGGAAACTTTGAACTGTCTTTCAAGTTCACCAAACGTTAGACTACTGTCGTCTTCAATGGCCGCCTTCAGGACTCCGTCATTCAAGACCTGTGGTCGTCCACTGCGAGGCTCATCATGGAGTGACAAATCTCCCGACTTGAATTTTCGAAACCAACGCCTTGCAGTACGTACATCCACAGCACTATCCCCAAACGCTTGACATATGCGGTGACTTGATGCAGCTGCTAATAAGCCCACTTTGAAGTCGTAAAGGAAACAGCCCCGAACGAGATCTCTAGACACTTCCATCCTTCTCACAGCTGTCCGGCTTATAACTGATGGCCGGGCACGGTGCGCGTGTTTTTTATAACGTCTGATGTTCCTACTTCCGGCTGTCCGAATTTGAAAACAATTCCTACACGCATTTCTTATATATTTCAACTCCATTCAATGACTAGTCAAAAAACGGACAAAACTTTTTTGGTTACCTTGTATTTAATAAATATTATGAATAACCAAGAGTGGTTTCTCCTTGTTTTGTTACTCTCTTCTTTATGAGAGTTATTTATATTTACTGGGACAATAAAAGGACACTATACGAGAACCTTGTATTCTCTGTTAAATAAAGCTTTCTTAAATCTTACACCTGCGTATCTTTATCATCACAATAAATGTTTATCTTCGAGGAGTTTTACAAGTCTTTGTTGCATATTTATTTCTCTTACTATCTGTAGATGTCGGTCACTCTACCGAAAACCCAGGGTTTGAAACCTCTTAAACAGGGAAGGGTTTATTTACTACGTTAAAATAAAAAGAAAATAGCAACTCTACAAATGAATAAGTTGACGTCAAACAACGCTTCATTTGACAGCGTTCAACTTCAGACACACTAAACTCTCAGAACATGACTTCTGGCAACGAAAAGATTAATAAATAAAAAGCAAAGAAAACTCGAACAAAAAATAAAACCATTCCTTTTAAATATAATTTATTTAAAAATTGAAAATAACGTAAGAAATTTTCGAAAGAATTTAAAATTATCAATTCGATCAATAATTATCATTTTTTTTCTTTTCAGTTTTAACTCCGTTCTTTCTTTATGAGTCATCATCATTAAACAATTAATCAAATTAATCAAAGAAAGAAGCAATCGAAAAGATTGTTTTTTTTTAATGTGAACTTTAAAACTATCAATTACTTTAGATTTTAAAAAATACATTCCCCTGCGGCCTAAGATTTCTTCTCGATAAGACTTCCTGCGCAATCACTAATTTTTACCAACGACGTGACAACTTTGAAAAGAACTGGTACCAGTTTTAGATAAATACGTTTAAAATCTCCAAGAACAGAGACTAACGCACTAGATATAAAGCTGTTTTTTTTATTCTTGGAAACAGTAATGTTGCTTAACACGTCTCATGGCAATATTTGAAATTCAGAAAGGTATTTTAGTTCGATATTTTTACAGAAAACTTGAGCATTTGCCAAAAGTAATGCAATTGTAGTAAGATTATTTGATACTCAAACTATTAATTATTTCAGTCTAAACTTTAGTCTATTATTATTTTAATATTTTGCTCGTTAGTTTCACAGAAAGACGAAGGCAAAATGGAAACTAAAAAGTGACTTTCAAAAGCTAAGCAAAGTGATAAGAAATAGGAAGATTTTGCAAGAAACAAAGAAAATAATATTGAGCTATTTAATATCAATCTTCATATATGATAGTGAATGCTGGAGAATTTCGTCGGGGATTACCAGGAAACTTCAAGCAACAATATTTCTTACGACAGAAAGATGCTAATAATACATGACGGAATACGTAAATAATTAGAATTTAGGAATGCGGTTTCTACACTTGTAGTAGAAATTAAAGAGGACACTGAAACTTCTGGGAATCCTAATGATAATAATGGCTTGGAAATTTTGGCACTCACAAGAAAATTAGTAATAGAGAGAGATAAAAAAAGAACAATAACAAATTTAAAAAGAAAACACGCGTGGCTCAGTGGATAAAAGCGTTGGTTTCTTAATCCAAAAAGTGACTTGACCCAAAGCGAAGAGAAAAAGAAAAGTTGTCAAAGCGAATTATCTAAAACTGGGATAACCAAAAAAAAAAAAGCGATGGTACGTAGAATTAGAACAATCTACCCCCGTTCACTAAATAAAAGATTCGATTTAGAATGTCAATAAATATCACCTTAAGAAGGCCGAAAACATCGTGGACAGGGCGATGAATGTAAATAATTATATTACCTCATATCTGAAATGTAGACAGACACTATTTTCACCTTATATTGTTTTTCTCGTTAAATGTGGTATTTTTCTCCTTCTATGTGTCGCATCCCCCAGGACGTTGGCGATCATGGTTCTCCACAATTTCATGTACTTTGTAGTTCTTAATAACATTTGTTTTTTGTCATCTCTCCGACACCCTGTTCCACAAAACATGCAATCACATTCCTCAGGTATGTTATGCGGTGCTTTCAGGTATCCTGTGAGTATAATATTTTCCAAGCCCTCTTTCCTCATTACGTATGACAGAAATGTGAACTGTCTCTTCATGATGTTAAATATAAGCGTCCTTTTTGTTTCTATTTTCCCGAAAACTTCATCGTTGCTCACATGTTCGGTTCAGGGTATTCTCAGCATCCTTCTGTAGAATCACTTTTCTGTTGCTTCACCTGTGGGGAGATTGTCCAGCATTCACTGTCATATGTAGGAGGACTGATATCGTTTAACAGTTCAGAAGTCTTTTCTTTGTTTCCAACATTTTATTTTCTGTTAGCTTTTGGAATGCATCTTTGGTTATCACAGTGGGATTTCAGAGTTGCACATTCCGTCCTCTGATAAAACACTTCCCAGATAGAAGTGGACATCCAGAGCATCAGAATAAATATGCTTGACAACCTACCTGGTTCAGTACTCTTTTCTTTGTTTCTAACGATATTTTTCTGTTTCTTTGAAAAAAATACTTTGTCCATCGTTTGTAAGCCATCTTTTGCTATCCCTATTCGCCTCTGGATCTCAATGTTGCACTTTCCGTCCTCTGATAATACAC